ACCTTTGAAGAAATGCTTCTCCTATTGTTCAATATTTCCAAAGGATTTCATCATTGAAAAGGATGATTTAGTTCAACTTTGGATGGCTCAAGGATATCTTCACCAACCTAATGAGTGCTCCAGGATGATGGAAGAAATTGGTGATGCCTACTTCAACTATTTGCTATCTAATTCCTTGTTTCAAGATGTGGAAAGGACGTCACATGGAGATATCATATATTGCAAGATGCATGATATGGTGCATGATCTAGCATTGGCTGTTTCAAAAGATGAAACTTTCATACTGAAGACTGGTTGCAAGATTGATGAAAATGCTAGTATTCTACATTTGAGAGTTAGGCATGATGCAAGTGAGCCTCCAGACATTCCAGCTAATATTCTCCGAAGGCTGCGTTCTTTGTTCATAGAAGAGAAGGTGGGTGCTGTTTTCAATGCCATGGCATCTAATCTCAAAAGTTTAAGGTCTTTGAAATTAGCAGGAGTCGAGTTCCCTATTTCTAGAGATGTTGACATAAAAAAGTTGGACCCTGCTCTTGGAGAACTGAAGCATTTGAGATACTTTGATATCTCAAACAGAAAAGGTTATGTACTACCAGAGTCTTTTTGCAAGCTCTATAATTTGCAAACTTTCAGACAACATAGTTGTTATGGTGGTCTGGAGTGGCCACAGGATAAGATAACCAGTTTGGTCAGTTTGAGGCACATTTGTTTTCACAGTGATTGCTCGCCTATACTGAGGAGCATTGGGCACCTAACTTCCCTTCGAACATTACCTATTTTTTTTGTAGACATGGGAGAGGGAGGTGGCATTGAAGAACTGGGAGGCTTAACCGAACTCACAGGAACATTGGAGATTAACGATCTTGAACATGTTCATTCGAGATTGGAAGCCAGTAAAGCAAATCTAAAGGAAAAGATAGGAATACGCTGGTTGAAACTGGAGTGGAGTAATTTTGAGGAAACATACAGCGCCAATGAGGAGGAGGTTCTAGAAGGTCTTCAGCCTCACACAAATCTAAAAAGTTTATCCATTGAGGGTTACATGGGAAAGGGCTTTCCGCCATGGATGATGAGTGGTGGTGCTATATTTTTGTCCAATAATCTGGTGGAGTTGGAATTACATGGTTGGCATAATTGTGAACATATTCC